TACTTCAAACAGTTTAATTTTTAATTGAAGTACATTCCAGGGGGGAAGAACTTCATGGCAGATGCACTGTCTAGGTTGCCTCAATATAATAGTGCCCAGAAATGATCCACCCTATTGTCCCAACTAGACAGTTGGTGGCTCCAATGTTTACTAGAGCCCAGAATAAAGGGGAAGTTGATTTATCAAATGATTTAACTCCACAGTTAAAAGAAGCTCTGAAATTTAACGATTGGTTCCTGGCTCACTCAAATAACTGTACAGTTAAAGATGGATTGGCATGGATGGGGGCTAAATTATATGTGCCAGCAAAGTTGAGAAACTAAATATTACAATAAGCTCATGATTCCAAAGCTGCTGGACATTTTGGGTTTGTAAAAACCCTACACTTGGTTAAAAGGCAATTTTGGTGGCCTACCTTGAAAAAGGACATTGAAATGTATGTGGCTAGTTGTCCTATCTGTGCCTCAGCCAAACGGCTGCCTGGTAAACCAGCTGGCTTACTACAAAATGTAGCCAGGCCAACTGCTCCATGGAAAGAAATTTCTATGGATTTTATAGCGAAATTACCTGAAAGTGGGGGAAATACAGTTATTTGGGTGGTAACGGATTTGTTTTCCAAACAGGTACATTTCATACCTTGTGCAAATATCCCACACAAGAACTGGAGGTCGTCCATGACTTTGTGTACCTTGGATCAATTATCTCTGACATTCTCTCTTTAAACACTGAGCTGAATAAATGATTGGTAAAGCGGCCACCACATTTTCCAGACTAACAAAGAGAGTATGGCTTAATAAGAAGCTGATGGAACATACAAAGATTCAGGTCTATAGAGCCTGTGTCTTGGGCACACTCTTGTACTGCAGCAAGTCTTGGACCCTTTACGCATGGCAGGAGAAAGTTGAACACCTTTCATATGCGCTGCCTCTGACATATTCTTGGCATCACCTGTGCAGTCTTGGAACGTGCTGGAATTTCTAGCACGTATATACTATTGAAACAGCAATGTCTATGCTGGCCTGGGCGTGTTGTAAGGATGGCTGATGGGTGGATTCCAAAAGACCTCCTGTATGGAGAATTAGTGCAGGGAAAGCATCCCAGAGGGAGACCACAGCTGCTATATAAGGATATCTGCAAGAGGGATCTAAAGGCCTTGGGAATGGACATCTAGGAAACCTTGATCTCTGATCGTTCAGCTTGGAGGCTGAAGATGCAGCATGGCCTTCTTCAATTTGAAGAGATACTCGTTCGACAGGCTGAGGCAAAGAGGCAGTCCTGGAACCAGAGAAATCCAGGGGCAGGACAGGAGACAGACTGTATCTGTCCTCAGTGTGAAAGGATTGCCACTCTTGAATTGGCCTTTTTAGCCACACTAGATGCTGTTTTGGGACTTCTTTTCAGAGCATGATACCATAGTCTCTTGAGACTGAAGGATGCCAATTCACCTAGTTATCCTATAACATGGCAGCAGTTATGTTTCCATATTGGACCTGAGAGTAAGTATTCCCAGGTACAGATATCATTGACACTGATTGAAGCTACAGCTGAAGCTGAAATCTGTATTAGATCCACCTTGAGTGATGGGTTAGGTAAACACCCAAGGTGTAATCATATGTATGATGTAGGTATAAACCATAGGGATGTATCAGGTAGAATGGAGTCTTTGTATAATTAATGTGCTGAACTTTATGGAAGTTATTCACCATTTTATAAAAATGTAGAATCCTGAAAGAAGAGCTACTTTTACCATATACTGGATTGAAGAATACCCGTCAAATCTTATGTTTTGCTTAACATTACTACACACTTAACACATACTGATGATTCGACCTTTAAGAGGTTGTGGGATCTCATGGCTACCAAATTTTACCTGGCTAAAGGACCTATTTGTATGCATAATTGCTATTATTGTTATAGGATTTATATCATGTTTTTGTATCCAATGTTCGCCTGTATGTAGTAATTGCTGTAAATACTGTTATCAAGTAACTAAGCCAAAGACACCAGGGATAAAAGGAAAACGATTAAGCCAACGAGAGGTTAGAATTATGTTGCAGGAATTACATGGAGGTTTACAGGAATAAAGGATAAAATAGAAAAGGGGGGATTGTGAGAAGTTAAAACTATTCCTGTAAAGAAAAAAGCAAAATATCGACATATTTCTCCTGACAAAGAAGAAATAGTGTAGGTTTAGATATAGCTATAGGACATTCTGATTAAATGCAAGAATGCAGTTTAGATAAAGGAGGTGAATAGAAAGACCAGAAAAATATATGTTGACAAAGAGCATAGGTGGGCATGGAATGTTGCAATTATGCCAGATAACTGAAGAAAAAAAGAAGCATTGAAAGAATATTTGAAAGACAGTGAAGAAGGTGCATTGAAGCAAGTACACTTACAGAGTGTCAAAGAAATCAAGAAGGCCAATAAAAAAAAATGAAGAAAAGAGACATGGCAAGGGAAAGGATGTTGTTAGTTGAGAAGTTGTGTCTGACCCACCGCAACCCCATGGACAACATTCCTCCAGGCCTTCCTGTCCTCTACCATCCTCTGGGGTCGCTCACGCCTACTGCTTCAGTGACTCCATCTGGCCCCCTCATTCTCTGTTGTCCCCTTCTTCTTTTGCTCTCATTTTTCCCAGCATTAGACCGTTGAGTCTTTCCTTCTCATTAGATGGCCAAAGTACTTGAGTTTCATCTTCAGAATCTGGCCTTCTAAAGAGCAGTCAGGGTTGATCTCCTCTAGGACTGACCGGTTTGATCACCTGGCAGTCCAAGCAAAGGTGGGCTGCTGGGGGCTCGCAGGGGCTCGGGAGAGCCCCTAGATAAGACTCTGCAGGGCTCAGAGAGCCCCCAGTAACCTCAGAAAGACAAGCAGCAATGGAAAGCTCTTAATAGGCTTAACTGAACTTCTGGGTGTTCAGCCAAGAGCATTTCACACCTCCTAAAAGTGTTACAAGCTAGATAAACAATCCACTAAGTGCTTGTGAGGGAGAGTCATTGAGAAAATCAGATAACATAGCCACTAGCTAGCCTCTGAGGGAATTAATTCCCAAATAATAAGAATCATGTAACTCACCTGAAACTCCACTAAGACTCCATGATCCCTCTCAGAGTCATTGCTATTAAGCCTGGTTCACCCAGTCTTTTATTTAAGTATTAAATGCATGAAATAACAAAGAACTTTTTGGTGTATGTCTGTATGTATGTATGTATGTATGTATGTATGTATGTATGTATGTATGTAATTAGAGTAAAGAAGGGACATTGAGTTGGCCACACCTACCCAGCCACATGACCACCCAGCCACGCCCACCCACCCAGTCATTTGGGCAGAGAGCCCCTTGCTAAAAAATTTGAAGCCCACCTGAGTCCAAGGGACTCGCAGGAGCTTTCTCCAGCACCATAGTTCAAAGGCCTCAATTCTTTGGCACTCAGCCTTCCTTATGGTTCAACTTTCACAGCTATACATTGCAACTGGAAAAACCAGGCAAAGGATAGCTAGTATATTTTTTAAAACTTGCAGGTAAAGCAGATAATAAAATAACTGATGATGGATAAGAACAAGAATGTTGAAGAAAGAGAGAAAGAAGCTAATTCTGTCTGCCCAAGACCAAACCACAAGAACAAATATATTTAAAGCAGTGAGAAGACATCAACAAACATCAAATGTCTTCTCTGCAATGTGGAAGAAAGAAACAGTGGACCACCTAGTTAGCTCCTATAAGAAGATCACACAGACTCATTTCAAATAACAGCATGGCAAAGTAATAACAATGGTGCATTGGAACATTTTCAAGAAATACCATTTGCCAGAAAGCAGGAACTGGTGGGATCACAATGCAGACAAAGTAATAGAAAATGAAGAATCTAAAATGTTTTCAGACTTTAGAATTCAAATAGACCAACCATCTGTCATACAACATTCCAAGCTTAACAATTGTTGATAAGAAATATTTAAAAAGTCTGGATAGTGGACATTGCAATATCAACAGTAAGAGACACCTTGGGTGCAATTCCAAAATATCTGGAGCTTTACTTGAACACCATAAATTTTGAAAAAAAAAAAAATCACCATCAGTTAATTGCAGAGGTAGCTTTAGAACAGCTTACATCCTACGAAGATTCTTTAACATTCTTACACAACTTCTGTCTATTCCTGGTCTGTAGGGAAGTGGATAAAATGCCAAACAGATGGATAGATGCATAAAATGCCAAATCCAGTCTAAACACCTGGCTGACTATGTGACCAATCATCATCATAACAATAATAGATGCTCCTGGATTCGTTCTAATGTTACCTTAGGAAGCTGGCCACAATGCAGCATTACCAAGCTTTCAAATGCCTGACTTCCTGAGTTCTGCACCACAATCAGTCATCCACTTTCCTCTTTTCTGTTGGATGGGTCTTTTTTTCATGTGGAGAAAAGAACAGCACTGCTGGTAATCTTGACTGTTTGATAAAAAGATTCCTTTTTACAGTGTCCCTTCATCTCCAGTTGACCACTATTCTTTGACTCATCACTGTTTGGTGAAGTATTCACTGTTCTTTAAATCCAAAGGTCAAGGGAAATCCCAAAACCATGCCAGCTGCTTTCCAAAGCCCCTTGAAATAGTTTGTTTTGCAGATATTCCAGTTCAGTGTGAGAAGTGTGTTTGTGTGTGGGGGGGACGGGGGACGGGGGGGGGGGGGGTGGCTGACGCAGAAAACCCCCCGGGAAGGGGCTGGGATCCTTTTTCCATAATTATACCATCAGTCAATCATGTCTTGGAGGGGGGGAATGAGCCCGCAAGCTTTCAGAAGCAAAACTTTCTTCAATAGATAAGCTGCCTGTCCAAACTGTTTGCAATCTTTCCCAAAATATCCAGCTATCATTTGCGGAGGAGAAAAACTTCTAGGTCCAATCTACATTGAAGGAACCTCTTCCATCCCTCCCTTGCTCAAATTTGCTCTGCTCTCCTTGTCCTCTTGTTTGCCTCTCTCCCAATCTCCTTACTCACCAATCTCTGCATCCTCTTCCTTTCCTTCCATTTCTTCTTCGCCTCCTTCTCCCTCCTGCTGCTGCTCTGAGAACCTTTCCCGATTCTCCACGTTCACCACGCCGGAGCTCTCTTCTAGCTCATTCTTTTCTTCTTCCCCTGGCGAGAGAAGCAAAGCGCGCAATTAGCGGAGCTCAGTCGCCGAGGGTTACGGCTAAGAAGCTCCCAAAAGCCACAAAAGCTCAACTTTCGCAGCTTTTGGAGACCCAATACGTTTGGGGACGAGATCGGGAAAGGAGGGGCGAGATGAAGAGGCTTTGGGCGTATCACGGAGTTTGGCAAAGAGCTTCGCTGGCAGTCAGCGGCTGCCGCCGTTGGAAGATATGAGAACCTGAGGGGAGTTTCCTCTGGTTGCCATGGGACCCTCTGAAGTTTACCTGGAAGCAGTGATGTTTTGCTTTGTGTTTTCCCTTCAGGGCACGCAGTGGCCAACAATTTTTCCTGAGTTTCAGCCCGGGTGTCAACCAAAACAAAGCTCTGCCTTCCGCGCAAGGGGTCCGGCTTTGTGGTTAGCAAAGTCTTTTGAGAGAGAAATTCATCCTTATCCTGCAGTATATCTCACCGATTAATATCCAAGGATCTTCAAACTTGGCAAACTTAAGACTTGTGGACTTCAACTCCCAGAATTCCTGAGCTAACATGGATTGGAGGAGGAATTCTGGGAGTTGAAGTCCACAAGTCTTAAAGCTGTCAAGTTTGAAGACCCCTAAATATGTGCTGATTAAAGAATCTTCGATAATAGAATGACCTCTTTGTCTAGAAAAGTGTTAAGAAATGTTTAAAGCAAAGGATGAATAACTGTATATAAGAAATGCTGTAAAATTTTCTTCAAGTGGAAGTTTAGATCTTTGAGATCTACAGTGCTACTTATAATAAAAATATTAGAATTACTATTATGATTGTTACATACATTTCACAAAATTTGGTATTATATCATATACTCTTCACAATTATTTTGTGATGTAAGTTAGGAGAAATGGGGAAAGTATAATCCAAAACCAGCCATGTTCCATGATTATGCATGGATTTGATATAAAATAGATCAAAAGTTCATAAATCAGCACCTTTTATTATAATAGAATAAACACATGCAAAGAATGATTGTTTGGTAATGTTTGGTAAGCAATACTTTGCCTACATGCACCCTATCATGCAGTGATGAACAAAAGTAAAACTCTTTTGTCCTTTCTTCACTTAAGCTATGAAATTATGAAATTACATAGGAACCATTACACTTCAGGGACTGTATTGTTATGTTGGATTCAGCAAAGAAGATTCCTAATCAATTTTCTTTTTAGATGAGTAGTTATGCCTTGCTTAACTGAAAAACAAATACAATGGAGCATGGCTTTGTAGTCATGATTAGCAATGCCTGGGGCATGTTTGTTTTTAGGAAGATATGCATATACTGTATGTGACATATATCTGCAGAAAATTCAAGCTTGCTGAAGTGCTTGAAAGGAAAATAAAAATGCTACTAGTGACCACACTTCAGTACACTGCAAGTATCGCTTTCCCCTTCCCCATGTGAGTTAAAGTGCCTGGAGTGAGAAAGAGGGGGCGGGGGTGACAGAGGAAGTGGGGGTGAATCGAGCCTGGGAGCACTTTTGCAATGTAAAAGAAATGCATTTTGGAAGCAGCAGGTCCTTTAAAAACTTCTCCAAGGATTCCCCATGGATGCTGCAAGTATCGCTTTCTCCCTGTGAGTTAAAGTGTCTGGAGTGAGAAGGAGTGTGGTCTGACAGAGGGGGTGGGGGAATGCACTCCAGCCTTGGAGAAATTTAAAGGAGCTGCTTCCAAAATGCTTGTCTGTTAAGTGTGCTCTGTGTGTGTGTGTGTGTGTGTGTGTGTGTGTATAAGAGAGAGAGAGAGAGAGAGAGAGAGAGAAAAGAAAGAAAGAAAGAAAGAAAGAAAGAAAGAAAGAAAGAAAGAAAGAAAGAAAGAAAGAAAGAAAGAAAGAAAGAAAGAAAGAAAGAGGAAGGGAGAGAAAGAAAGAAAAAAATAGGAAGAGGAGAGAGAGATAAAACTCTGTGCTATTATTTTTAATTGTTCCATTATTTATCATGTGTTAATATTTTACACTGCCCCTACACCTAGAGTGATTTTTCTGCCTTTCTTTTGCCCAGGGCTACCACATATTTTTCAGGGTTTACATGCATTCAATGTCAATAGTCCAGAGCATAAAATACACATGTGTTTAACAAGAGATGAAAAGGGACCTTGGAGGTCTTCTAGTCCAACCCCCAGCTCAGGCAAGAAAACTGAGGATGCCAAACTCTGAGTAGAAATCCTGGGAAAGGTGTCAGAATAATACTTAGAAGGGACCTTGGGGTGAACCCTATACCATTTCAGAGAAATGGCTGTCCAGTCTTTTCTCAAAAACTTCCACTGATTGAGCACCCAGAACTTCTGGAGACAGGCAGTTCCACTGGTTAATTGTTCTCACTGTCAGGAAGTTTCTCCTTAGTTTTAGGTTGCTTCTCTCTGTTCAGTTTCCATCCATTGCTTCTTGTTTGCATTCTGCTTCTTTGGAAAATACATTGTCCCCCTTTCTTTGTGGCAGCCCCTTAAAAGCCTGTTGCCTATCACACTCTTGGGTAAAGCATGTGAGCTATTTCCAATTTTCAATGGTCCATGAAAGTACATCTATAGTATGCAGATAATAAAGTCAAAAAAGGTGAACAACATTTTTACAGAACTATAGATAAGTTATGGCTGGGTGACAAGGAATGGCTGGGAGGGGAGGGGCCAGGTGAGGCACCCCTTGATATGAGTGACATTGAGTTGGCCACGCCCGCCCAGTCACACGATCACCAAGCATGCCCACCCAGTCACATGACCACCAAGTCACACCCACCAAATAAGCCACGCCCACAGAACCGGTAGTAAAAAAAATTGAATTCCACCACTGTTCAGAAGAGATGCTATATAAAGTGCGTAAGTATGAGTGAAACATTCAACTTGAAAGCAGCCACCTCCTCTGGAAAATTTGAGTAGCTGCTTTGAAGAACGTCTCCAATCATCTGTGCGTGTGTGCCTTTGCCTAGTAGATTTGCTTTACTAGTTTTCCAAGTGAAATGTTGGCTATAATGAATATGTATGAGAATGCAACCAGAGATCAATCTTACGAAGCAGCTGGGTGAACTTTGCAGAAGGTGCAGCTGCTTAATATTTCAAGGAGAGATGTTTCACTCTTGTTAACGTACTTTAATATGTATTCCTTTTGAAGCTTTTCAAAGCCATGCTGTGGGTAGCAAATTTGCTTTTTCTCTTGTTACCATAAAATTCTTTGTTTGTAGACATAATTCAACTTTATCTGTAATGGAATCGCCATCTAATCCTTTCTACCCTTTCCTGATAGGAAAGCAGCAGTAGCTTTAATGGAGAAAACCAGAGGTGGTATTCAGCCGGTTCGGACTAGTTCTGGTGTGGTAGCAGAAATTTTGAGTAGTTCAGTGAACCAGCAAATACCACCTCTGGCTGGGCCCCGCCCTTTCCTGTCCTAAATTCCCTTGTTTTTTAGTTCAGCTGATTTGCGCAGCAGATTGGCATACCTCAGCTGAGCTAAAAAACACCTCACCCACCAGCGCTGACACCAAAGGTGGTCTTTGAGTGCTGCACTGCGCAAAGCGCACTGTCATAGAACCAATTGCACCACCAACTGGCCCCATCCACTCTGCCCTGCCCCCACCCACCTCGCCCTATATATCTTCGCCATGCGGCCCAGCTAATCTCCACACCTCGCCTCCGTGCCTCGCCTGCTCTGCTCACCAAAAGTACTCATGCTGCCTGCTCGTCCTTTGTCTCAGGTTGAGGCCCAGGGACACACCATTCCCCAGCTCTAGCCTTGCCCCAGAGCCTCCTCCTGCTTGCCGTTCACTTCAGCCAGGTTGGGGAATGCACCATTCCCTGGCTCTGACCTTGCCCTGGGCCTCTGCCCGCATGCTGCCTCCCCTCCGGTCTCAAACTACGGCAATTTATTCGGCGTGTGGCCTGCTGCACTAAGCCGAAGGGCCATGAAGGGGCGGGGTGGTGGCATGGGCACAGTATAGGAATGGCTGAAACAGTATAGGAATGGACCGGACAGTTCTTCTGACCTCTAAGAAGATGCATGCAGAAAGCACTGCAGCGAGATCTTGCGCCCGCTTCTTCCATCCCTTGCTGCCGAGGCTTCACTCGCGGAGATGCTCCATGTGCTCTCTGGGCTGGCAGCTGCTTATCTCCACTGCTGCTCTTGCTGGGAGAGCAGACTGCAATTTAGCAGCTGTCAGCTGCCTCTAAGCCCCATCCGGAAAGTGCTGCGGCTGAGACAAACAGCATTCAACACGCTGCTGCTTCTCTGTGCTGCAGTGCTTTCCAGATGGGACTTAAGAGGCCCCAAAGTGGAGGCTCACAGCTGCTAAATTGCAGTCTGCTCTCCCAGCAAGAGCAGCAGTGGAGATAAGCAGCCGCTGCCCCAATGAGCAGAGATGGAGGGGAAGCAGGCCTGGAAAGGCTGCTCCGTCGAGCCTCGTCATGCGGAAGCCTACATACGCACATGCGTGCATGCTCACATTTTTGGCAAACCAGTGGTGGGTTTTTTTTCCTCCACCACTGCAGAAAACCCATTTTCCTGGAGTAGAAACAACACTATTCCATCACTGTATAATTGGCAAGCCACCCAGGTTATTTTATAGAAGAGATGGAAAAGACAGTACACCTGCTACCTGCTACTCAGCCTTGGGATTAAGTTTATTGGTATTCTTTACATCTCCTTACTCATTTATAGTTGAGGTAATCCAACATAGATTATGAAACATACATAGCAAGAAGAGTCAATCTTTCATAACACTAGAAAAACAGTGCGGGAAAAACATTTCCATACTTGTATTTGTGAATTAATACAGTTATCTAAGATCCTTTTCTCATGTTGTACAATGACCTCTAAATATAATTTAACAGAGAGCCATTGCCAGTCTCATTTCTGAAA